ATTATGCGCAAAAACACATATTACCGGTTTTGGACAACTTCGTAGTGGATAAACGTAACAGGAGATCTTTACCTCGTTTTAACAAAGTATCTGTATAAATATAAAACAAAAGAGAATTTGAATTCTACCAATCCGTGGAGCAGACTCAGTTGCTTCTTTGTCGTTGCTTGAAAAATCTTCCGAAGATTCACTCTCATTGTCAGAACTCTGTAGCAAATGTAACGGCGTGGAGGGCGCAGAGTTGGAATTGTGTAAATCTAAAGAACACACAACGGCTTCTGATAATGAAAGAAGACAAGGTCTAAGTCTACGTAAAGTAACTACAATAGAGAATTAAAAATAATATCCAAAACTTGAAAAGAACGTGTAATCTTACATAAATGACGAAGAATCGTGCTTAGCACAAATTTACCTTGGAATAACATTTTGTCCTCTTGAGTTTTCCGTTGGCGAATTGCCAATAACGACAAAATTACCTACGTTCAGAAACGCGACGAGTAGGCATCATGAACATCATTCTCCTCATCTGCATGTAAACCTAAAATACACTTTCACATATGAGGTAACAAAGGCGCATCGCTAATTATAATAGCCGAAAAAGTTTGTCCTACATATGAAGTTTATAACGTGAACGATAAAATCGGTAAAAAGCATATTACTGTGAACGTTGTTGACAGAGACATGTTCATTAATCGGTGTAGCAGTCGTCACCTTAAAAGAGTCATTGCATTCACTACCTGGAGGAAAACTAAAATATGTCTAGTATGTCTAAGGCATATACTGCCAGTTGATGACATATACAAACGACGAACGATGTGAGCAACCTTGGGTGTGTACACTAATGACTAATTAAAAGGGTTGAGTTACCTTGTATGATATTCCGTGAACTTAAGCTGTCTTCTTCTGTAAATGTACAGCTAGCAGAACTTGAAGTATGAGATTTGCGTTCTGGAGTGTTTTGACACCTTTTCTGAATGGGATTAGGTTTAGTAGAAGAAATATCGTGACCTAAAAATTAAGCAGTATTTGAGGAAAACAACGAAAAGAAATGAACACCAGTTGTCCTATAAAGGAAGTTTAAAACATGATCGGAGACATAGGTAAACACCATATTACTGTAAACGTTGTTAACAGAGACATGTTCATTAAACGGCGTAGCAGTCGTCACCCCTAAAAAGTCATTGCATTCACCACCTACAAGTGAAGAAAATACCACGTGATGATGTTAGCACCAGTAAACACCTACCAAATGTAGACGGCGTATTGTTTTTACGCCTCATTATTTTAAGACCTAACCATGAATAGTAGGTTGAAAAAATGTAAGTATTTTTTACGTAAAGAGGTACGCCGTGAGGTCCCTTCAAGGGAAAATGTGGGGTGAAGAATCGTACATGTGAACGGCGACGACCCATGAGACACTTCAGGGCACCGTGCGGCGCCTCGGCAGCGTTGTTTGTCCTATGTCGCATTCCCGCTGGAGCCGACCAGTATAATATACCGATAGGAAATAAGAGACTAATTGAAACCGCGAGCTTCTACACCCAAGCAGAGCGACCTCAGAAATTGTAGTACCTCATACTTCCACTGCTTCCTGTTCCACTGAGAAGGAACAGGATGGCCTGCTCTCGAACCTGAATGGGCTCTCCATGACTTGGGATCGAACGTAAGGTCGTTCGGAGAGATTTTCCTGAACCATTCATTTCTACTGAATCCGTATCAACGCCGACCGACATAATCCGACTCTGTCGAGTCTGCTATCGGCAGCAAGACATGTAGATCATACTTTTCGGCGAGCTCTTGAGTTCTGCCGACTGAACCGTCTTCCTGCTGATGAGAGATCTGAGTAGAAGATTGAACGTCTCTCACCCACGGTCTCATGATACTAGACCTCTGAGAGCACGACCCCTCACCTTCCCGTCCTTGTCGACGACAAGTTGCCGTACTCCTCGATCTCCTCGACTTCCTTATCCCCTTCTTTCTCGATGTCGCGTGACGATCGACATCTCGTGAGGTGCTCGACACACCAGGAATGAAATGGTTCCCCCGTCCGCCGGCAATGGGCTCTCATGTGCTTCAGACTGGACTCACGGACAGCAAGACCCAGAATTATCGGTTTGAGGAAATGACTCCTCTAGAGGGATAGTATATGGGAGAATGTTTGGCTTACTCTTTCTTCTTCTGTGAAAGGGGCTATGAAATGTTCTTGACAATCATCGCAGGTTTCCAGATAGAACCCGCTGATTCGTTGTTATGTCTGAGGTGTCTGCAAAGTTTGATTGCAGACAGGGCAGGTTCTATCCGGGGAATCTTGTTGAGTCTTGTTGTGTCTGAACAGCCCTGTGGGTCTCTTCAACCTGTCGTGCTGGCTATTCGAAGATGTATAAGACGCAACCTTTCCCTGTGATGAGCTCCCCTTGCTCTCCCTCCCTCAGATCACACAGAGTAAGGGCGCACCTGTCCCACGCCAGTGCTATGTTAGACGCGGCCTCTCCAAAAGAAGCCGAAAAATGTAGTGTAGCAGATTGGGGGTATAACGGTAATTTTGGGGCGAGTTCTAAAATTTGGGGGCTGATCTCTAAAATTTTTGGGGTGTTGCGTTGCGTTGCGAAAAAGTTCTGGGGCCGTGGTGAGAAGCGGGATTTCCATCTCATGCTTACCAGTTCATCCATTCACCTCACAACACCGAATTATTTGCTTTCACTAAGGTTTGAGTAGGGGTATACCACTTGCATCAACTTGTTGTTCATGTGATTAACTTCGTCTTCACGGCTCGATGTCACGGTTATGACTGGTCACGGTAGTATCGTTTTGTCGAATACTTGGATCTTGCTGCGGAGTTGAATGTAAGTTCACTCGGGAATGTTATCGCCGTGTGACGGCAAGAAACAAACTTTAGCGAAGTTAAGAATGAGACGTTCAACCGGCGTCGCGATTGTCTGCAAATACCCAAGGACTATTATCTCATATGCAAGTCGTTCCTTTTTTCTGGAGTTGTGGGAATAGCGGAGTTGAAAACATAGCAACGAACTGGGGCTTTATTTAACCCGTGCGGCTCCCTAGTGGCGAACGGAGTGAAAATTCCAAAATGGCATTTCCTTGTTCACTTCACTCGCTTCGGTTGAACCTGATCGTGCTGGGAATCGGTCTTGCTGTATCATCGTCACAGAAGAGACGAGAGTGTTGAGTTTCAAGTCATTAGTGTAACAGAATGGGGCGTCGTTCAGTGATGCCGGTCGGGAGGCGAGGAGTTCATCTCTCGGCTGCCCACCATGCCCATCGTCTCCTAAACCCTACTACTCCCTCCATCACAGTGTAATACCGTCTTCGGTAGTACACCACGGATGGCCTCATGAATAGATACGATAGTCTAGAGTACAATAAAGGAGCTGAGGATCAGCCTCGTAGGAAGGTTATAATAGATGGTATGTTGGACATTGATTGTACAGCTGATACTCGCCATCATACAGAGGTAGTAGAGCTCCCCATCTCTGTGAGCAGGGTGTTAGGCTCAGCATCGGAGGAGAATCCTTATTGAGGGTGCGCATAGACCTGTTGGATATGCTGCTGCTGGGTGGAGACGACCGGCGGATGAGGTAGATCTCATCCTAGGGCTCTTACTATCGTCACATCTCTTGAGGCGGCTCCTAATGAAGCGATCTTTCACCATAGTTCCTATTGGAAGACCCAACGCCTACCGAATGTGACGTCGATGTCCACAACGCTTTAATGCAGCAGATCGAGAGTGCTCAGTGCAATGAGGGTGATGGTGTGGACAATTTCGGAACGGGAAGTAGGCCGGCAACACGCTTAAACACAATAGGATGTCTTAATGCATTTCAGCTGGCCGCATTGGTATAGCCTGGTTACTAGGCATCATTTCCAAAGCTGGCAAGGCACCTTTGTTTTTCCTATACGAGTCGTTGGAGGCCTCGAGACGGGCCCATAGAGGGTGGGCATTCCGGATACTCGAGCGGCGACCTGAGGCGGCGGAGCTCCAGGTGGGGTCTTTGTTGATGCAGTTGATTCTGGGATGTCATCGAAGGTACGATCCTTCAACGTGGAGGAGCTGCTGGGTGAGGATTTCGAGCTGCCAGCTCACAGTGTGGTCTCGTCCAATGCTCAGAAGCTCACTGATGCTGACCTTGATCCCGACGGGTACGCCTTCCCGTCGGGAGATCATCGTAGTAGTAGCTGCTATGTTATGTCAGCTTTTATTGGCTTTATCCTGAGCGCTTGGCTGATCCTCGGTTGCGGAGGGAGCGGTTGAAAGCGTTATTGGAGAGGCAAGCTGAGGAACGCTTGCTCAAGGCTGGTAGTGGTCGACGTCCTAGCACCCTTATTATCGTGATGCACTACGCTGTGACTTTGTTTTACTTCTCACTAGGTGAATATATACTAGTGATATAATATTAACTCAAAGAATAGTGATATAAATAGTGTATTTTTGATGGTGTTACTTGGCTCGTTGCTGTGACTTCCAACGTCTATGGGGTTAAGGAGTAGCGGAACACAGCCTTAAGCCACAACAGCATGTTCTAGAACTACATGTTGATTTGAAGTCATCCTACTGCTTGTCCTCCCTCATACCTATAGAGACCTAATACAGATATATAAATGTATGAAATATCAAATATATATCATGTTACAACTACACAAGTAGTATTTTATATAACACAATATTACATAGTCATGTACAATGTAGTTTCACCCTAGTGATATGAAAAAAAAACTAGTGAAAAAACTAGCCAATATCGAGTTTTTCACAGAGTATTACGCCACTTCACGTAAAACGGGTGAAAATTTAATATAGTGGTCTGTTAGAAGTCATTACTGTTGGACTCCTCCTCCTTCTCCTTTTTAGCCCGCCTGGCAGCTAAGGAAGCGGAGAATGCTCGGTTCGTAGCAGTGCCATTGGAGCAGCGACAACATCAGGAGCTTATGGACCGACTGCAGCGACTCTTTGTGGAGTGTTGGAGGCCTCGGATAATCCCACCAGCTGGGACGAAGGGAGGCGATTCGACTGACAGTGACGCTAGCTGGGTAGTGTTGGGTCGTCATACTATGTAAGAGAATCGGTGGAAAGATACTGTTGCCGTGGGAAAGGGAGGAGCTTGCTAAACGTGTTGATGCTGATATGCTCATGGACACACTCACCTGGCTGTATCGTATTCATAGTAACCTCACTCACCATAATGAGCTGTAAGCCATGTCTAGGTCTGTAGGGAAGGAGCAGTGTGACCAGGTACGTCACTGCTGGGATCCAGATGTGTAGTTTGGTTGATGCGGCCAACAACAGGCGGTCGGTCCCGGATGTGGAGAAGGGCGAGATGCTCCTTAGTGACTTCACAGCAGTAGTGCCATATGTCGATAACGTTGAGAGTGAGCTTCATGCTAAGCTGGTGAGAGGACGATGGTTTGGTACCTGCTGGGAGGCCTTCTCGTTGTGGTCAGCTCTTCGGCCGCTTATGTAGGCTTTGCAGGGTGGACCCGAGCACAGCGGGTAGTAGAGGCTTCAGCGCATCGTTGTGGTTTGTATGAAGCAATCAGAGTCTCTACAGTGGGCGGCGGTGCTGAAGGCGTGTCGGCTACATAAGGCGGCCTTGTCCCCAGCGGGGGGTAGGCGACAGCAAAGGGCGCCGTCCAGGCTGGTGGATCCGGTGTCTTTGATAAGGAGGGATTTGGGTAGTAGAGAATTGGTTCTGTTTCTTGGGAGGATAATGATGGTAGAATCTACTACTAAGATGGTAAGAGGAGAAATAATGAGGCTGCATGTACCGATGGAAAAGTTTAACGAGTATTTCCTGGATCCGGCTAATATTGAGATGCTGGTTGCAGAGTGAGATGAATCGGAATATTTCACCCGTCTTAAATCGTTCATCAGGCACCAGACGTGGTCACGTATGGCGGTACAATTGGACGGTTTAGTCAGCTTCAGGTGAGCAAGCCTCTACGGACGATTATGTAGGACGGATCTCCATCAGTACGTCGGAGTTAGAGAAGTTGCTGGGTGGGAGGACGAAGCCAGCGGATGTCGCTTCTAAGAAGGAAGTGAAGGAAACGCCTTTATCCGAGTTGTCTTACTACTTGCCTATGCAACGGTGTCTGGACCTCTTTAAGGAGTATTGGACCGCACGGGTCATCCCTCCTGCGGTGGATAGAGAGCTTATGGATCCTACTGGGGTGAGTGATGGGTCGTGTGCTGCGAGGGGAGTACACTCTCTGAATGGACTCCTTAGGTCCTCCTTGATCACGAGGTGACGACTATCAACACCCTATTCCGTCAGAACAATCTGTCGGGTTTGTTCAAGTACCTGACGCAGGTCCACACTGTATTGAAGGACGCTGAGGAAGCGTAAGGCGGGAGGGCTAGGGTGAAGTGGGGTGGAGGTTGGGTGTAGATATGTGAAGTATGGGCGGATGATGGTGAGGATCATCAGGCAGGCACAGTATACTAGGAATTGTATGCTCGACCCCGACACAGGTGAATCCTAGTGGTAGAGGGGGGAGTGGGTGTAGAGGCTCCATGCCAGGACGTGGTCATTATGGGGAAGACTTGACTTACTTCAGCCGACGGGACAATATGGAGGCTAATAAGGAGCTCGAAGGGACGTCCACAGTAGATGCGGAGGAGGTGCTTATAGGTGTTGCTGATTCTGGTATGGGGAATGCGGCTTTGCCTTAGTGCTTCAACCGACTACTGCGACTGTGTCGGCAAGACCCAGAGAAACGCAGTAGGTTGCGTCGGGTATGGTATGTGTTGGAATGTGCGGCCCCTTTCAGCTGAGCTCAGCTGGGTTCTAGCGGCGAAGGCGATGGAGCAGCATGCGATAGCGATCAACCCTCCTGAGGGAGAAGCACGGCGGTCACCGTCGCGACACTACGACCTACGCTCCTTAGCGTCTATGCAGTCATGTGAGGAGACCTAGAGGGACGAGGATGTGCACTGTGATTTTGGCAGCTGCTGTTGAGCGTGTTTACAAGAGTCGTCTGGCGAACACCTCCTTGGACCTCAACGCGTTGGATAATCACTTGAGGGATGAGGACGCCATAAGCCGATTCATATTCGAGTAATGTGCTCGAGCTCAGCACACCACAGTCGAGGTTGCCTCATGCTTAGTCGTACAACGTATGGGGCTATTGCGGAGAGTTTGGAGGAATGGGGGGTTGCTGGGAAGTAAGACTCTTGAAATTGAATCGCCCATGAGGGATGAGGCCTTCGCTTCGCTTGAATTGGCTCTTTGATAGGGTTGGATGCTTCTGGCTTCCGAGCCTCTAGGGTGTTGTCGGCTTTGTGCAGTTGTAGTTATGGATGGTCTAGTTGTTTTTGAAGTAGGTATCAAAGTCACGTTGAAATTATGGAGCACAAGGAGTCTAAGGTCCGTGCTATGGAGCAGAAGGTGAGGAGGTCGTGCTAGGCGATAGAGGCTCCTATGTGTTGGAGTTGTTGCTGGATGGTCAGTTGCAAGAACAAGTTAAGAAGGCGTTGGAGAGTCGTAGAGTGGTCCATGAGGAGCAGGCCGCTGCTGAGGCGGTTGAGGCGGCGGCACGGACTGCCGAGATGGAGGAGAAGCTGGCTGAGGCTGAGGCTGCCATACCGTAGGCTGGGGCTGCAGAAAGGCTTGGGGGTAGACCATGTGATAGGTACCAGCCTCGGGCAGAGACGCGTAAACGCTTCGTATTGGATATGTCGGTGTTCCACGATAAACGATCACGGTCTAGCGGTGTTAGGGGGGATCTGGACGTACAGGGGTATTCCAAGGCTGAGTTGGCTGAGCTATTGCGGGTACCCGTTGAGGAGGTGGGCCTCAGAGTCGGTTGAAGGGCTCATAGTGGTTGCTCGGATTGATCTTAGGTAGAGGACGTTGCTGATCTACTCAGAGACGACTACTTACTGCTACCACGGGCTCGTTACCCTGAGGACATGGCTGAGGCTATAAGTGAGTTACACAGTCGACTCGGGGGCTTGTGGATCGTCCTGTAGTGCGAAGGGCAGCAGCAGGGCTTCTCTTCTTGCAGGCCAAGAGCTCACCCGTCGGAGCCTCAGACAGCATTTGCGCCGGGCTGAGGGTCGTGTGAGACCCCCTGTTATCACAGTCATGGGACACGTTGTAAGTATCACAGTAGTTGTGCTAGTAGAGATGTTATTCATTACTGCTCAGGACCATGGTAAGACGACGCTGCTGGACGCACTGCGTAAGAGTAATGTCGCGGCTGGGGAAGCTGGTGGGATCACGCAGAGGGTACAGCACGATGGGTGTGGACTCCTGGGGACTGCTGTCTTCGGCCGGTTAGGTTGGAGCTTTTACTATGATCGGTCCAGCGACTGGGGAGAGGGTTACCTTCATCGATACACCTGGGCATGCTGCCTTCTCCTCTATGAGGGAAAGAGGCGCTAATGTTACCGATATTGTGGTAAGGTGTGCTTATGGTAGTCGGGTTGGTACTCTTTACTGTAGTGTAGCACTCGTCCTGACTATGTATGAGTTGTCGGTGACCGATGCTCGAGTGGGCTTCATCTCTATGTGACTGATGAAAGTCCAACTTGGGAATAA